TGATAATTCGTATATATTATCACACACACTCACACACCAATGAAATATTTTTTAAAATCATTTTATCCATTGTTCTTTTTTTAATTCGAAAATAATTTCGAATATAATGTTCGACGACGATTCTTATTTTCCGTCTCCCTTTGATTCGCCTAATTTTTTTTCAGGGCAAAATTTTATCCATAACCTTGGTTCGCTCGTTGGAAAAAGAAGTGATCGAAAATTGATCCGCGACAATTCGCGACCAAGTTGGCTGAATGGACCAACGGTGTATTAAATCGTGGACGCGTCATCGATAATTTTAATCAGTTATCGAGCGACTCATTAACATACAGGTGTTTAGGATGTTGCGGTGAACGGGGAGGGAGGGGGAGGATCCCCGCAATTCGTTATCGAATTTTATAATTTGCCATCGATTAATAAAGTCGGCGGGCGAAATATCGTTGTTGCAGGGGATAATCGTCTCGTCCCGCCGCCCGTTTAATTAAATCATTCGTTAGCTTATTTAATCGGGCGACGATATTCTAACGATGTTTCCGTTCAATTAAAACTTTCAATTCGTTTTTCCAGATCGAAAACTTTTCGACCGTGCAACTTCATTCCCCCTCCACTCGATCTCCGACCACGTTTCTTCTTCTTCTTCTTCTTTTTCTTCTCGAAGCTTCGTCCGAATCGATGATTTTCTAATTTTTAGAGATCATTCGAGAAATATTTTCAATCAATCGCGCGTATAAAGCTGTATATTTGAAATATATCTAACGCGATTCTTTTTTTTTTCTTTAACTTTATATTTTTTATTTTCTAATTTTCATTCGAGAAATATTTTCAATCAATCGCGCGTGAAAAGCTTTTAAATTAATTTCGTTGTAGTTTCTCGCATCTGTATATTTGAAATCTATCTTCGTCCGAATCGATGATTTTCTAATTTTCAAAGATCGTTCGAGAAATTTTCAATTAATATTTTCAATCAATCGTGCGTGAAAAGCTGTATATTTGAAATCTATCTAACGCGATTCTTTTTTTTTTCTTTACCTTTCTTATCTTTCAAGATCATTCGAGAAATATTTTCAATCAATCGCGCGTGAAA